GTATTATTTAACTGAAGAATTAAGGCTATTTGCAGTTAGAGTTATTAATGAAAAATACAGACTTGTGTCTGTCACTTTGTTGATTTTCTCCTAGATAGTATTTTGAATATACCTTGTTCATTATTTCTTCTCTTATCTTTGTGGTCTCTTGGCTTACCTTGATTTTTTTTCTATTTTTCATTGTGTATCTACCCTTCTAGTGGGATTTATACCTTTGCATGTTATCATAATCATGAGTTATTTTCATTTCTGGGTATAGGAGTCCTCTAAGTGCTTTATAAGATCAGTCTGGTAGTAATTTTAGTTTTTGCTTATCTTGGAAGGTCTTGATTTCTCCCTTGATTATGAAGGACAGCTTTTAGCAGTTATTTTGAGAACCTGAAATACATACATCATTCCATGCCCTCATTTCTTGCAGGGTTTCTAACCGGAAATCTGCTATTAGTCTCATGGGGTTATCTTTAAATGTGACTTAGAGCGTTTCTCTTACAGATTTTTAAATTCTTTGTCCTTTCTTTGTCTTTTACTTTTGCTGATTAGACTGTATTATGTGGTATGAGGATCTTGTCTGGTCATGTCAAGATTTTATATGCCTTGTCTTCCATGTCTTTTCCAATATTAACAAAATGCTCCGCTATCATGGCCTTAGGTAGATTTTTTTTCTTTTTTTTGGCCCTAGACCTTTATTTCTTCCCCACAGGTATGCTGATGACATCAATGTTTGATTGTTTATTGGTGTCCCACAGATCTTACATGTTTTCTCCATTCCATCTCATTTTTTCTTTATTTCTGTCTTAATGTATTTCAAAAGACTAATTTTCAAGCTCTGATATTCTGTTTTGCTTGATCTTGGCTTGGTGTTCTACTGAATTTTTTTTATCTGACTTAATTGAACCCTTTCATTTCTGAGATGTCTGATTCTTTTCAGTCTGTATCTCTTTATACATTTCTCATTCATATCTGGGATTATCTTCCAAATTTCATTTAACTGTCATTTTATTTGCTTATTTAGGAGCCCATTGAGTTTTTACAAGGCAATTCTTTTGAAGTTTTTATCAGGCACTTCAATGACCTTGATGTTTTTGGAATCTATTAGTCATGAACTTTATGAGGTGTCATTTTACCTTATTTTTTCATATTTCTTGTGTTCCTATTTTTAGACTTGTGCATGTGGTAAAATGAGTGTCATTAGTGCTTTTATAGAGTGTTTCCTAGTAAATGGCTTTCTCCTAAAGATTTATCCAGGGATGCCAGTATCTTATGTAAATTTAAGTTTCTATTCTGCTGGGTACTGTAGTGTAACGTCCCTGTAGCTTCTTTGGCTGGGGTTTGTGAGTTTGGGTAAAGCATACACTGTATCAGTAATGTAAATCACTGTTTCTGGGTCATGCAAGAATGGGAGAGCTCTAACTGTTCAGACAGCAAAGTATGAGGTCTCCCTGTGGCTGCTCCTGTGGTGGAGTGGTGGCCCCCTTGTGGTGATGGAAGTTTGCTCAGGCACTCTTGACCATTGTGTCTTTTACTTGAATAGTCTCTGGTATGGGCTACTCCAGCAGTATTTAGGGACTGGAAAGACTTGTCCTCTGACTAGAGTGTGGTTAAGACCCATGTGCTTCACAGGGAGAGACGGGGGCAGGAATCACAATACCTCTTGTGATACTCACACCCTTGTCAGAAGTCAGAGATCTCAAAAGATGAAGGTGCAATTTATGAAATGGACCGGAGTAAGGTTCAGGGGAAGCAAAAGTTGTGTTATTCCTTTCTGCTGCTACTGCGGGCATTCCCACCCAGCAGCAGGACCTCAGACTCCTCCTGGCTGTGTACTCCTCAGGACAGAGCATTGTTGGGATCTGTTCTACCCTTTTTCTGTTGTAGTTCCCACTTGGGTTTGAACCAAAGTGGGTCAAGGCTAGACCTTGGCAAAGTTCCTGCCAGCTGAGGTACTCTCAGGAGACAGTAGAACATGGCCAGTGCTGGGTAACATCTGTTTCCCGACCTTGTTAAGCTGAATGCCCAGAGGGCACAACAAGGGCTAGGAGTTTTCCCTGCTCCCATTCTTTTACTTGTGGTGTCCCCCATATGTTCAGTGAGAATGCGTCAGAACCATGGGGTTGTCTGGAAATTGCCTCGGCAGGAATCTCTTGAATCATTTCTCTGCCAGGTCTGGAAGAGGTGGGGGAGTTGTGTGTGGAACCACCTGCTCCCACACCCTGGGCCCAGAGGGCCGGCTCCCTGCTCCCCAAGTCTGTGTCACAGCACCCACTCCCCACTGTGTGGGACTCCCGAGGCATTTGTGTGTCACTTCACCGAGCCAGGTCTGACTGGTGAGATGGCCACCTACCAGCCAGTGCCCTGAAATCTCTGTGGTGTATCAGAGATGGGAATATTCAGAGGTTTCTGATCCCTAGAACTGTTGAAATTCAGAAAATTCATCACTCGCCAAGGTGGCTCCTAGCTGCTACGCCCTGGTGCTTTCTGGGAGAGGAAGTGAATTACTTTTCCAGAGCCAGACTCCTGTGCAGATTTCACGCCTCTTGTCTATTTAGGCTGATAACCTGCAAGGGTGTGAAACTTTCCTGTAGCAAGGATTGCTGTAACTGCGCTGACAGGATTTGCTGGGAGTCTTTCACCTTTACCATGGACAGGGGCGGACTCCCCTCCCCTGGCTGTGGAACCGGGGTAGCAGATGATGGGATATTTTGTTTCTCTTGGTGCTTTGCTGACCTAGGTCTCTAGATTTTATAAGGTATCATTTTTGTACTGTTGATTCCAGCGTTTTTCCATAGTCAGTCACCTCTGTACTTTGGTTCTTCTTTGGTTTTTCTTGGTGGAGTTTCAGGCCACCTTGCCCTCTCCCTGTTTCTTTCTGCAGGATCGCATTTGGAGGCCCATGCGGCTGACCTGGCCTTCACTGGTAATGTTTATTTTGATCAGCTAACCAGTGTGTTGCTTGAGTTGTCTGCCATATGTACGGTGACTGTCCTTCCCCTTCCATTCAAACCAGTAAGCAGTCTGGGTGGCTGCTATAAAAATATGTAAGTATTTTGTTCCTCATCAAGATCGACATCTATTGTTGATTTTTTCCGTATCCAATCATTATCATAATTTTTCCAACTCCATTTGTCTCTTCATATTTTCAGTTCTTGAAATTTCTTAGCTTTTTCTTCCCAGTTACTTTTCCTACATTTTTTTGTTTTTCAATTTATTTTCCTCATATTTTGTCATTGTTTTAGATTATAAAATAACAGGTCAGGAATATGGCTGGCTGACTAACATGAAAATTAACTTCAGTAGTAACCAAAGAAATACAAATTAATTATATGTATTTTGGGGGCAGGGAAGTCTGATAACAAATTAGGATATCCTAATTAAGAATGTAATGAAATAAAGGCTACTAAGCTTTGAAGAGAATAAATTGTTAAACTTTTCTTGAGGGCATTTTGGTAATGCTTTTCAAAAGCCTCTAAATTGTACAACTATCAACCATGAAACTCCCAATTTTTGAACTTGCAGACTTACAATTTTATAACATTTTTATGTATGGTTTTCTAATGCTTTATATTCCCCCTTATTGTCAGTTCCTTCCCACCAATCCCCAACTGGTCTACTTTTTTGTTTGTTTGTTTTTGTTTTGTTTTTTGAGACAGGGTCTCACTATGTAGTTGAGACTGACCTGGAACTCACTGTGTAGCCCAGGCTGGTCTCGAACTCACAGCAATCCTCCTGCCTACGCCTCCCAAGTGCTGGGATTACGGGGGTGCGCCACCACTCCTGGCTACTTTTTATCCCTCTCAATTAGTTTGCACTTTTAACAATGAGTCTCAGTCATTTATAGTATGTTTTTCAGTACCTGCCTTCTTTTAGTCAGCAAAATTGAGACTCGGACATATTGTTGCAGATATTGTCTGCTTAGTCTTTGAAGTTTTAGACGTGGTAATACATAGCTAATATTGTTTCTTCATTGCGGTTTCAATTTGCATTTCTTTTATGGCTAATGATATTGAAGCATCATTCTTTGTGCTCATTTATAAGTCTTTGCATCTTCTTTGGTGAAAAATTATCTGTTCAGCTATTTCTTCTGACTTTACTGAGCAGTTTATTACTAATTTTGTGACACACATATATCCTTTGATAGAAGTTCTACAGCAAATAGGTGATTTGTAAATACTTTTCTCATGGTGACTTACCTTCTCTTCACATTTGCAAAGAGTAGGAATTCTTTGTTTCAGTAAGGTCCAAGGAACTTTATTTCCTAACATTTACTCTGGGGAAATAAAAGATATGAGTAAAATGATGTATATTAAGATATTCACTATAGGAAAATTGGGAAACACCCTGATGTTGAACAGCAGCATTTGCTGAAGTATATTATGACAATCTAAAAAATGCAGAATATTATTCCATTTTTAAAAATAGTATTAAAGTCTATTGTCTTAGGCATTTATGGTATTAGTGAGAAAATATATAAAAGGTCTCATACTGTACACACTAAAATGTTCGTGGTGATAATCACAGGGTAATGAAATAACTGGTTGCATTTTCTATTTCTTTGTGATTTTATAATTTTATACATAAAAGGCATTTTTATTTCATCCAGAATTTAGAAATGGTATCATGACAATTTACTCTAATTGAAAATATTTTAGCCTAAGTATTTCTATAAACTCCATGGAATATGTATGTATGAATATGTATGTTTGAATAGCTGTTTTCATGGCAATAGCTGTTTTTATCTACAGATGTTTTGCATGTAATCTGTGCCTTTTAATAGCACAGCATATTTAATTATTTGCCCAAGCAATGATTTCTGAAAGCCTGTGTTTCTCATAACATCTTCTGGTTGCATTTTGCTGCAAATTTCCTGTGCTCAGGAAAATGCCTAAGCCTGATTTGTCTTATATTGTACTGCTACTAAAATCATCATTTTGTCCCTGTTAATTACTGTATTTTACTATTGGATTCTTTCAAAGAACTATTTATTAATATGTTTGTACATGTAGGAACTATCGAAAAATCTTGAGCTGAGTACTAACAGTTTCCAACGGCAGTTGCTTGCTGAAAGGAAAAGGGCATTTGAGGCTCATGATGAAAATAAAGTTCTTCAAAAGGAGCTACAACAACTGTATCACAAATTAAAGGTAAGCACTTTAAATGTTTCCCCTATAAGTTAGAAGAAAAATCTAATATAATCTACAAGATCCTACCAAGGTTTGTTGACATAGTCACTTTAACAAGGTAAAATTTAGTTACATAGGAACAACTAAATAAATAAATTGGAAAATCCTAGAAGAAAACTATGGGAGCTAGTACTGGTGTTGCATGGCTAAATAATCTAGTGTTCTTCTTCAGAGAACCCCATCTTTAATTCTTTTTAAAGTTGTTTCAAGCAATGCCTTCATTTTCACAATGTTTAGAGGTAGCATTCAAATTATTTACTTTTTGTTAAATCAGATTTTAAAATTTTTCCTAGAGGTCCTTGATGGATTGAAATCTTGTGCAGAGTTGTGCAAAATTATGCATTATCTCACATGGTTTCCTTTTTATGAATTTCTCAGAAAAAGTATTGTCCCAGATGTCAAGAACAGCTTTGTTTAAAAGCATGGTCTAATTTTTCTGAGTAACTCAAAAACCATATTTAAAAGATTCTAACTAAATGCTTTGTCTCTGTGTCTAAGAGTGTGTGACAGTTAAGGTAATATTACCTCCATTGGGTATGAGAAGGTACAAAATGAAGATTACCTTATTTGCCTTTTTAAAAAACCTAACAGGATATATTGGAATTTTTAGGGAGAATCACTGCCCTTCCCTAACCTAAATGTATTAGAGACATTTGATTCCATGGTTCAGTTCATTGTATAAGGAAAATGCCAATTGACTAAGTGAGGGCATTTGTTTTGTGTTAAACTGAGACTCTACTTCCTTAATTGCACTGGGTTTGTTTTTAGGAAAAAGAGAGAGAACTGGATATAAAAAACATATATTCTAACCGTATGCCAAAGTCCTCTCCAAAGAAAGAAGAAAAAAATTCATCAAGAAAAAATGGTATAGTAACTATTATTGTTCAGAAATTGATAGGATAGCTATTACTGCAAAACATTCTGAAGTAGGAGAGAAAAGGAAAGAATCCCATTGTGGTGCTTTGCAATTTGAATTTAATTTTCAAAAAGCCTTTCTTTTTTTTTGTTTTTTTTTATTAGTACATGTCTGCAATACATACTGATTACATTATTTATGGGGAGTTGATACATGTATATAACACATCTTAATTCTTTTCTCATCCCCTTTCTGATCTGAGAAAGATCTTCCTACTTCCTATTTTGCTCTTAGTTTATATTTTGGGTTTCTCATATAAGCTTGTGTGTCTAATTTATTTCACTTAACCTGATGATCTCAAGGTGCATCCAAGTTCTGATAAATAACTCAAGTGTATCCTTCTTTATATAAGGCCTAGTAGTACCCCCTTGTGGGTAAATACCACATTTCTGTATCCACTCATCTTTTGATGGTCATAGAGGCCGCTGTCAAATGTAGTAGTTATGAATTGTGCTGCTCTGCCACTTTGGTCAGTTTTTTCCATCTAAGGTCATTAAGATTGTTTTACATATATATGTGTATATATGTATACACATACATACACATATATATAATATATATACAATACATAATGTATATATAATATGTACACACACACACACACACACACACACAAACATACCCAGAATAGAGAAGATGGTAAATGAACCTTTACTTATGTATGAGCCTAGCTTTATTTCATCTGTTTTTCCCACTTTTCTAGTTTTTAAAGCAAATTCCAAATATAATTTAATTTCACTAATATTTTATATTGTTAGACATGGTTTTACTTTTAAAAAACAAAAGTATAATTCTATGAATTTCAAAAATTAAAAACAAAATTTGTAAAGTCTTGGTAGCATTTACAGTTAGACTTTCTCCAAATCACATAATTTCCAGTTAAATCCTACAAAAATTTTAGCAAGATGCACTCATTGAACTGAGCAAAACATATATTCCCCTGTTTGGGTAATGAATATACACCAGTTGAATTCCATATACCTTAGCATTGTTCAGTGGCCTTAGAAAAAATTGTTCATACTTTAATGGTAGCTGCATGCCAGAGTGATTTTACAGACCTGCATACCAAAGGAGTACAAACCACTGAAGAGTCTGAACTAGAAGAATTCCCTGTAACACCAGAAACAACTATGTGTTATGAAAACAAATGGGATGAACCGGAACATCTTACCCTGGTGAGTCTAGCAATATAATTATGTTCCAAACTCTAGATCTGAAGTTATTTCTAAGAACGTGGTAGTTTTGGCAAAGGAGCTGATGCTATATATGTATGAATATTCAGTTAGCCTTTTAAAGAGCAAGAGACCAATCTGTGCTTTTTTAAGTTCCTTTGGATTAACTCAGTGCATGTTCACATACTTCAGAAAGGTTGAAGGTACCTTCTGGGTTGGAGGTGAAAGAAATTTGTTTTCAGAGTTTATCTTTTATATACCCAGATGGTCTTGGGAAAACCTAAATGTTTTTATGTTTAATAGCAGACTATAGTAGTTTTCAAATTGTTAGACTTTAACTAGAGTAAATTGTTTTGCCTCCTAGGTAAGAGACATTTATAGGTTAACTGAATGCTAAACATGGCTGGAATCAGATGTTATATTACTCAGTTTAGAGTGGATGCAGGAGGTCAGTGTTGGGCCTTCATATAAACGGACTGTCATACTGAATCCTTGGCAGGGCCTTTTTCTAAGAGGGGATTATCTTCAATGTTTATTGTTTAAATTCCAATGGAAAGAATATTTCAGGGATCTGGCATATTTCATAAAATTTCCTAAGGATCATCTATGAGATCTCCTCTTGTGGTATAAAACAGGGCAGATTTATTTGGTTCCTCTGTGTACTCTAGTGTTTAATTTTTTTTTTCATAATTTAGTCACATTAGTTGTTATCTGCTGGGTGTTTTTCCCCTGGGTTTGTACTATCATTGAGACAAGATCATGTTGAGTTGTGTCTTTGAAGTGGTAAAGTGTAGAATATTTTAACTTTAAAATTTTAAAACATTTTGGACTTTATGAGATTCAGCAGGAGGAGTAGCAATTTGAATATGAGAAGAATACAGCTTTAGCGTTAGCTCCACTTTTTAAGTTATTAAGTTAAATCCCATTTCTCCTTGCAGCCTCAATTTCCTCATCTATAAAATGGGGGTGGATTCATTTTCAGGGTTGTGGTGGGTCTAATTAAAGTTACTTAAGCTCTTGAGATTGAAAGAACCACAGCAAAAGGTAGCTTAGTGCACAGATAAAAGTTGCTCTTGGAAGAGACGCAATACAGTGGTTGACATAAGATACAGTAGACCAAAGTCAGGGTTGTGTAGGCCTTTGCTCCGTGGTAGTCATTCTCTGTCTTACCGATCTTCCCTTTTAGATCTTCCTCTTCTGTATAGTGGGAATTGGCTCCCCATTCCTGTGAGAAAGTAGAGAGCAAGCTATTTGTACAATTGTGATCAGAAGTTACACGTTTCTACTTTTTTCTCTTTTTGGTCTTATCTAGGTGCAAGGGAGGCTAGCAAATGTATCTCCTACTGACTAGTCAGTCCTGTACCCTGCAGAATCTCAGATTTCTGTTACTACAAAGGACAAAATTAAAATGGATACCACAGGACAGTTATCGACTAGAAATGTTTTTTTATTAACAATAGCTGCCTTATATTTTTTAAAGGAGCCATAAAAACAAAGGAATTTTAAATATTGTTGTGGGCCGGGTATTTAGCTCAGTTATTCTGTTGCCTGCCTCGCCAGCGCAAGGTCCTGAGTTCGATCGCTGGTACCAAAAAACCAAAATAAATATTGTTGAATTTAATAATTGGAGCCTTTGAGCATAGAAAAGACTAAAAAACTTCAGTGTAATTTTCACTGTCTGTGTTACATTTCAGCAACAGCTCAGGTAGCTACCATCCGTGGTTAGCAGCCATTCCTAGTTAACTGAATTAATCACATTTCACTGTGAAATGTGCAAAGCAGATTACTTCTGTAACTTCAGAATTTTGTAGAGGGTGTTGGCTTTACTTCCATTATATTGGTTTTGACATCGCTTCTTTAAAATTTTAACTAGATTAGGAAATAATTTTATGTAGTTTTGAAGCATTTTTCAAAATGTATGGTAACTTGATTTATTTAATGAAAATTTGTTTCAATTTCATGCTTAATGGAAGATAAATCTATAATATTTAAACAGCATTTCCTCTTTTCCATGTGTACATTTATTTGCATTTTTAAAATGTGTAATAGGACCTGGAATCCCAAGAGCAAGATGAACACAAAGCAGCACAGATTCTAAACCCAATTGTGGAAAAAGAAGAAAAACACTTTAAAGATCAAGGCCTGCATATTGTAAAACAGGGGGTTGAGAAGCTGGAGGATGGTAAGAGAAACATTTGCATGAGCAAGTAATGAGTTCTTTCAGTGAGTTGGGGTCTCAGTACCTTCCAGCAGAACTGAAGTGGAAATCTAGAGTAACGAAAGGCTGATGTGCTGATAGGGAATGGTGTAGCAAGAGTCACAAACACTTGAATGAAGTCACTGAAGGAAGAAAAAAGTGGAAGACTGCACTGTTTGGGGAGTGAGGGAATAAAGGAAAAATTGCTCTCAGAAGATGTAGTGGAAGCAGGATTCAGATGGAAGAAAAGGACATTCTTTGTGTTTTAACTAAGATGTGATGAAAAAACAAGCGAAAATCACCTCTCTTGGCTTGAACTTGAGATTCTCTGGTCCCTAGACTAGTTTAAGCATTAAAAAAAAAAATCAATGAATTATGAGGTCCTGCATATTTTCCTATAGTTTTTCCTTGATTTTTTATTTATAAAATAAATCTTAATGTGTTCACCCACTAACTTTCCATTAGTATGTTAGTGGACCAGCTCATTTTATTTCAGACGTAGGAAATAAAGTTCAGGAATAAGTTCATTTTCAGCTGGATAAAATGGAAAAGTATAAGCAGGAGGGATCCAGATTTAATCTTTTGAACGTATTCCATTAGTTTATAGTATCTGCTTACAGAAAAACCTTTCTTATTTTTTTTGAGCTGAACTTCATGGAACATAAAGTCCTGACTCCACTGTCACTTACCCTTGTCTGTACACACACTGTGGCTGTTGACATAGAAACTACATACGTCACTGTTGGCCCATCGACAGAGCAAGATGCTTTCCCATGTTAAAGTGCAGAATAGAAAAGTCAATATTGGGGTCAACTCCACCTAGATAACAAGAAAAGGAATAAAATAGAAGACTGTTACTCGCCTTTGTCCTTCAGATTGCTGTTCTGTCCTTCTGGAGTCTATGTGGAATGATCTCTGACAATAGTGAGAATGTACCATTTATCAAAATTACCAGATTGGTAGTGTTCTATTGTAATATTTTCATTTGGAAATAGCTTCGAAGTTAGAGAAAAGTGGCAAGAATAATAAACTATTTAAGAATGAATTGTATACCTCATGCTTATCCCTTAAATACTTCTGTGTGTATTTCCCCCAAATAAGGACATTCTCTTACATCATCCAATGCAGTTTTCCACCTCAGGAAATTTAGCGGATAATAAAACATTCATTTACTCTATTGTCCATATTTTGATTCTGCCAGTGGATACAATATAGTGTTCTTCCCACAAACATCATCATAGATTGTGTTTAAAAGTCATATCTCTTCAGTTTTTATTCTAGAGCAGCTTTTTTGTGAGATTAACCTTGTTTTAGGAATGTAGGCTCACCTGCATAAGCAGAATATTCATTTGGGCTTTGTCTCAACTTCTGTTTTAATGAATGTGCTTATCAATGTAAGTAATGTAGCTTAAGGATATGACACCAAAAGGGCTTATTTTTAAATGTAAATATCTTTATCCCACCACCCACCACAAAATAAACAGAATTATATTATAAAAATAACCTTCCCTATCCGTACTTTGAAGAACAAAATGTTTTCTATTAATGTGAATTTTGAATTCAGTATACATTAAGTATATTATTCCCTGATCCCAAATATCTAATAAAGGGACAAAATTTTATGATTGTTCATCTTCACTGTTCTAATACCCCAAATAAATGAAAATTACTGCTTTGTAAAAGATGGTAATTTAACTTTCCTATTTAAAAATATTACCTGCTATAAAATCTCATTTTCAAAATTTGATTTCATACAGAATGGGAAAGAGAAGAACTTGATAAAAAGCAAAAAGAAAAGACATCTTTACTTGAGAAAGAAGAAAGTCCAGAATTGGAAACTGGAAGGTACCAAATGGGAATGTATCACATTCAACATATTGATAAATTAAGAGAAGAGGAAGAAGAACAACTCAAGACTGAAATGCTGCTTGCTAAACTGAGTGAGATTGACAGAGAGTTCCAAGATCCCTGTAATCTAAAATGCCCTCCTTTACCATTAATACCTGATTTGGAATCAAAACTGCACTCAGAGAAAAACCCAAAAACGTACGCGTTCTCTGAAGCCTCAGAGAAATTCTCTAATGGGCATCATTTGCAAGACATCAGTTTTTTACCTCCGAAGGGAGAGGGCCAGAATGCAGCAAGTTTCAGAAGTCCAGCCTCTCCAAATGAGTTTTCATCTGGTAGCTATGTGCCTTCATTTGCAAAAACATCAGGGAAGTCAAATCCATTTAGGCAAAAAAGTGACCTTTGTGATTTTCCAAAAACCAGTGTGGACGCGCTTAGTAAAGACACTATAGATTCAACTATAAGAAAAGAGAAAAAAGCCAGCCTCATGGAACAGCTGTTTGGTACCTGCAGTAGCAATGCCGTTTCCTCTAAAAGCGGTGACCCAAATTCTCTGGCTGCCAGCAAAGGAGACTTTGATCCTCTCGGTTTTCTCCCTAGTGATAAGGGTAAAGGCAGTAGAGACAGAGAATGTGACCAAGATGAAGACTTTTTCCTTGGTGAAGGAAGAAATTTTAATCCAAATAGACAGCGATTAAAACATGCAAACAACAAAACGGCAGTCAAAGTGGTGGATTCTGTAGACGACGACATTGAAGAAGTGGCACTGAGATGACTGACTAGAGCTTACATTTTTCCTCTGACTGTAAATATTAAAATATTTTATATAATATTTATTATAAAAATTAAACTTTTTCATGTTAAAAAGTCCTTAATAAAGAATGATTTTTAGTAGCTCAATTAAAAAGAAACAGCAGATCTACACTTCTTAGCTAGTTTGCCAAGAATGGAGGAGGCTTTTTTTTTTTTTCCGGAATGAAACAAAATACAGACTGTTTAGTCAGGTTTGCTGTTGCTGAGACACAGTACTGGACACCCACAACCTAGAGGTTTAAGTTGGCTCGGGAGTCACAGTTCAGGGGACGCAGTCCATGGTCAGATAGCTCCAAGGTAGTTTCCAAGGTAGAAGGGCGTGGTGGAGTAAAGCTACTTTATTCACTCCAGCTAAGAAGCAAAGCGATGGCTCCAGAGGGGCAGGGGCGAGAGACCACATAAAGACCCCACAGTCACACTTCCATGACCCACCCAGACATCGAAAGAATTGGACTCGCCAATCCCCTGGGCAGTTGCCAAGCCAGTCAAACGTAATTACTCCAGAGATGTCTTATCACTTTGAC